ACCTCTCATTAACCCAACCTAAACCTGACCCAAACCCGATAAGTTGTATGACCCGACTCAACCATGACCCAACTCGAACCCGACCCGCATAGGTTACGGCATTAACCCGAGTTGACCCGACCCGAGTTGACCCGACCCACTCTTACCCAACCCAAACACGACCCGTTTATCCGAATTAATAGCTCTACAACTAACAGCTACCTATACAGCTAACAGTTAACTTCACAATTAACAACCATCTTCACAACTATATTTTGTCTTCTTATACTTGTATTTACTACAGAGTAATTAAAAGCCTTTTTTTAGTTTTACTACTACATAGTGATAAGAGGATTATATAGCACATAGAATTATGTGATTTAGCTAAATAAAACAAACATTTGTCTTCTTTTATTTACTAAGAGTGATAAAAAGCCTTTTTTAGTTTTACTAAAATTTTCCCTACACCCCTATGTAGGTAGCACTGCCTGCACCCCCTCTTCATCATAATGACGTGATCTTATAATTTTTCGATTTCGAATCATTTATCAAATGTTCATTTTGGTATATATAAATGTTCATTTTTGTAAATACAAATGTTCAGTTTTTTTTTTATCTTTTTAATGTATGTCCATGTGCTTAATTTATTAATTTAAATTAAAAACTTTTTTAAAAATAAATCAAAAGTGAAAATATTAAACTTCAAAAATGTACATATCATATATTTAGTATTTATGTGTCTTACAAACTGAATTGAACATGTAACATCGTCTCTAATTTAGTGCATGTGGTATACATAAAAATAATTATGTAGAATTGTCATCCTGATAATAGATACTCTTTCGTACTCTTATGATCCTTGTAATTTCGAATTAAAGACTTTACTATCTTAATTTATCACATTTAGGTGACCTAGCTGGCCTATTTTAGATTCTAGAGCCTAACGTTCACATCATTCGATCACGTCCTTATCGCTGGCCCTGCCATATGTAAACAACCAATAAACCACCAAAGCAACACTACACTAGAAGTATCCATGATACAAGCAATCATGACAAGGTTTTTTCCTCCATTTTATAATAGTTTTATGTTTGATTTTTCACACGTGCAATTTTAACCATATATATATATACACTTTAAAAAATATAAGATACTTTGTACTGAGTATTAATTTAACACAGTACACAATATATGAACCACAATTCACAGGATACATTTCTGAATACATGCTCCATTTAAGTAATTTGACCATTGATAATTTAATATATACGTATATCATTCTATATATTATAATTTAATCAATTTTGTATGATGCACCATTAATCCATTATTCAACAGTATTGGAATCTACGCAGTACAATAAAATAAAGAATACAAAACCAAACAATTTCAATGATACGGAGTATATATACTTATCAAAAATAACATTTAAAATATTCCAAAAAACATTTTACATTAAAATTTTAGATTTTTATTACCTTTTCTAAAATTTGAGTGATAGTACACTTTTCATATTGTTTTTTAGTGGAAGATCGAGAATAAAAACAATTTTATAAAAATTGTTTAATAGCTTCAGATGTAATTGCAAATTCTAAATCCGCAAATCCAACATCACTTGCGATCATCCCTAACAATTCTCAAACGGCAGTAAAAATTGGACCGCCGGAGCTACCAAAATCAGAAATTACATTATGAAAAAGTTCATTCCCTTCGATATGACTGGCACGACCCATCGATAAAAAACGGAAAATTGAGAACAAAAACAATCTAATAAAAATTGTTTAAAATCTTTTGTTGTAACCGTAAATTGAATAAAATTGGTTAATAAAATATGAAAAAACAAATAAAATAAATTATATTAAAATTATGTACGAATTAACAAATTAAGTAAAATAATTTATAAAAACAAATTGAGTGTAACTATGTAAACATTTTATTGCACATAATTAACACATCATGTGTATTGATAATATTATCATTTCATTTTTAATAATTCAATGGTACATAAATCAATATTTTTTCGTATTATTAATATTTTTAATAATAAATTTATAAATAAATTTATGTAAACATACAATAAGTCATTATGTATTAATTTTCAACACGTAGCATAAGTAATAATGATGAAATCAATGCCGAAACTCAGTTCTCTACCTTGTTCATCAAATGCTTCATCAGCAAAGGAAACAAAATCAACTGCTGGCCAAAATTGATTTGCAAGGAAGATCACCAGTAAAATCAAAGGCCACACACTATCCTAAACCTCGAGATGCGGTTTTTAACAATCCATTATCCCGAAACCTATAATTCTTGCAAAAAATAAGTTGTTGAAACCAAAACCCCCCAACGAGATTAGCAGTGCCGTATTTGAGGCCGGGCAGCCGGAGCGCCTGCCCAAGGCCCACGACCAGAAGGCCCCCATTTTGCTGAGCTTAAAAGTCTTTAGAATCAATAGTACAATTATTTCATGTGCACATATAGTGTCCTGGTGGTTCCATGATGCTCTAGTGCTCCCGTCCATTTATTTTGGTCGTGGGTTCGAAACCTATTCCTTTACTTTTTCTTTGCATATTCTATCTCAATTTGTTCTACTACTACGTATTTTTTAAATATAATTGCACCCCACATTAAGACATTTGTATCTAGTCTGACTTTTTCATTACTTAACATAATTTGAATTAAGACTATTAATTCCAAGTAATAAAAATGTTCCTCTCCTACATATATTAAAAAATATATATATATACTTTAACATACTTCCTTCGTCATTTTTTTACATTCCTATTTGTAAAATTACATGGGAATTAAGGAACTGAGAATAAGACAAATAACAATAAAACAAAACACAATGGGAAGTACGGAGTACAAAACATTAAACGATGTTTTTGAGTAAAACAAAGATAGATTAATATTTAATGATGTCATGTCATCAATCCTTTGCAAAAAAAGGGACCAATAACATGCTCGTATTAGAAATTAAGAACCAATCACATTCATCTAAATTTAGAAGCGAGAATAGGAAAGTAAGAGTAAGAAAATAAGAGTGAGCATTAATTACTTCACAAAAAAAGAGGGATAATTTGAGATATTTGGGAAAAAAAAATACTTACTAAAAAAGGAAAGGAGGAATGTAATTTTGAAATACCCAAAAAGAAAAACAGGAATGTAAAAAAGGGATGGAGGGAGCGGAATACATCATTATAAAAAAATAAATAAATTGCAACACTTTGACTAAAAATATGACAGCTTTTTGGATAAAGTGTTGCAATATAAAACCGAAAAAGTATAGATAGGGCCCCATATCTTACTTTACCCTAGGGCCTCCGAAATCTCAGAAACAGCCCTGGAGATTAGGCAATGTAATACCTTCGTAAGTACATGCATATAGCATACATACGTATGTACATACATACATACATATGTACACTTATAGTTGAATATGTTTTGAATATTAATTCACATTTTACGTAGTTGAGATTGTATTAGGAGTCTGCAATTGTTTTATACAAAATAAGTCAATAAAATTGCTTTTAGTGTAGTTAGTATTACTTTGTCTCGTATTGAATATATTACTTTGTCTCATATTTGCAATATTCTTCGTATTTTGTTGATTGGTTCGTTATTTCTTTGATTTTATATGTTAATAGATCGATTTATTAGGTGGTTAAATAACATGATTTGGGCAAAAGTTTACAAAATGCTTGATATGCATAATGACTGATTTTCTCAATTTTATCGAAGTAATGGTACAATGTTAGTGTGATAAAATGTTAAATTTGAATTAACATTTGAAATGACAAAAGTTTGTGATGGTAATTTGTAATGATGTAATTTTACTCATAACACCTCAATAGTAAGTTTTATTTGTGTAGATGGCTAAATATATTCATTAATTCGGATCATCCCATTAATTCATATAAAGTATATAGAGCACATTGCGTATGGCCGTGTACTTGTGTTTTGGTTGGTCTCATATATGAATTATAAAATTAAATAATCCCAACTTGACTTTGTTTTGATCATGCACCCTAATTCAATTTCATTCACTCGTTAAAAGACACATGATGCATCATATAAAAGTGTGAATTTCAAGTTGGAAATTTCTTCAATTCGATAAAAAATGTATGTGGAGTATCACAGCCTTAAGTTTTGTACAAATGTTTGCATTTCATGAAGGTTTGATCCTCAATTTTATTCTACATCCGCCACTGATTTTCAAACCACATGACGGGCTGAAGGAGAGGCTTAGAATTAGACAGAAATTATTTTATCTTACATGACGGGCTGAAGGAGAGGCTTAGGATTAGACAGAAATTATTTTATCTTACCTAATTTGATTTTACTTCATTGTTTGAACTTATTGTATTTGAATTTTCTAAGCTTATTTTATCTTCAACAGATAGACCAGAACAAATCAATAATAATAATTATAATAATAACACTAATTTAATCTCCCTTATTAATATACCCTTATTCATTATTTTTTTTCTTTTTAATTCAAATTTTTTTTTTTAATGAAAGGTATAGAAAAATTGCTTCGTTCTTTTAAAAAATAATAATAAAAAAAAAAAAAGAATTGCTTCGTCAATCAAAGGGATGATAATGTCAATAATATAAACTAATAAGATATTCACCTAATATATTGAAATCTATTCGTGTTTATCAAATTTAGGAAACAATTGAAATTTACTTATATTTTACCACTTTAGCCTGCTCGTAATTAAAACTGACTACCCCTTATATAACCGCATGAAATTTTCTTCCTGGAGGCGGATTCACCATGCTTGGTGCATCCACCTCCTTCACGCATGTTTTTTCTTTTTTTTTTTTTAGAAAAAAAAAAAAAAGAATCTCTGTTTTTTGGATACTATTAATTACTTGATTTTGGATCTTCTTTCTATATATATATATATAGTGTCTAGACTAGGAAATTTATACTAGGCTTCAATTTTCAAATTGAGTGAATTTTTAGAGAGAGAAATAGGGAGAAATCAAACTTTAAGAGAGAGAAGCTAAAGAACATGGCCAATCATGGCGAATTTCGACATGATTCATATTGCCGTTTTGCGTTTGATGATCAAGATAATGATGATTTCAGCGAGACTGAAGACATTGTTACAGAAGGAAAAGGTAATGTAGTTTAATTTTTTTGTAATTTAATTGAATTTCATGATTTTCTTATTGATTTTATAATTTCGTTGAATTTAATTAAATTGATATCTTGAATTATCATTTGATTGAATTTAATTATAATTATTTTTCACAATGATGATTTATTGCATTGATTTCTTGAATTATTAATTGATTGCATTGAAATCTGGAATTATTAATGTATTGCTCTGTTTTTTGTTTATAATGTGTTACGTTGAAGATGATGTTCTTTAAAATTAGCACACATGTTTCTGTCAAAAATATATATATATATATATATATATATATATATATATATTTATATATAGCACACATGTTCATTATATTATATTTTAATGTTCTTTAATGTTGCATATAATGTACATTACATGAATCTTATATATAACGTTGTTTTGTTAACCAATGTACATTTACATTAGCTATAATGTTCATTATGTCTCTTTCTACACCAATTAAATTTGAATATGATGTTCATTAATTTTGGATACAATGTTCATTTATATTTTGGCTAATGTTCATTTAAATTGACTATAATGTGCATTTATTTTGACTACAATGTTAATTTATTTTGACTATAATGTTCATTTATATTTATGAGAACCCTCAATTTTATTAATTGTTATGTATAGGCTTTACAGAATCTACTACTTCTGAGCTACCATTTAGAAAAGTAATGTCAGACAAAGAAGCATGTGAATTGTACAATTCATATGCTTTTAAGCATGGATTTGGTACACGCAAAGCACTTAAAAGGACAAGGGAGGATAAAAAGACAATTCGTTTGCGAACTCTTGTTTGTAGTTATGCTGGCTTTAAGAAAGTGAAGTCTGATTCTGTGTACCAAAAAAAAGATTACCATAACGGTTGCAAAGCATTTATCCAGTTTGATGTTGATAAGGAAACTGGTTTGTATCATGTTGTCAAACATGAAATGGAGCATAATCATAGCAGGGTTCCCATTTCAAAGAGGCACTTGATAAGATCTCATAGAAAGATTGGTCAACATTAAAGAACATTATTCATATTGTAAAAGAACATAGTACTGTATTTCAATGTACATTGTATTATTTGATAACGAACATGGATGTTGTTTCGAGGTTTTCTGATGTCCTGCGGGAGAGTTACAATTCCGAGACTGGAACCGGACGCCTGTACCTGCAAAATAACGGAGACTCCTAAGAGCTCCGCCTCCAACGGTCAAGTTAGTACCTGATTAAGGAGTAATTAATACGGAAATTAAAGTAATAAGATCTCTCTAGGTGAGAGTGTTTAATGTAGGTAATCTGGTTTGTTAGCGAGATTAGCCGGTTATTAGTGTTCTGTAATGTTTCTGTTCTTCTCTGTTCTTCAGGTGAGATTAATTGCTTTTTTTTCCTTTAATGAGGATTAATTAAGTATTTATAGTCTTGAGAAGCGTGCCACTCTCTAGGTTTAGGGTAAACCTAGAGCTGACCGGGCCTCTAGACAGGATTGGGCCTTGTTGGCCGGTTTTCCCATTTGGCATGGGTGGACACGTGGCGTGTCTCAATTGGTCCGTAGAGGACGTATCTGTGATTGACACGTGGCAGGCTCCTATTGGCCTACGTGAAGGACACGTGGCGGAACCTGGTTGGTCCACTTGTCAAACGGTGATTGGAGGATAAAAATCCCCTAATCATTTGCCCCTCACAGGTGGCGCGTGACTGGTCACGTGTCACCTGTGACAGGTGTTGCACGGTGACAGGCGACGGCCTGCTACAGGTGTCACCTTGCAAATGGCCGAGAGATTTTCCCGCCCAAATTTTGAATTTGGAAGCGACCCTTCGCCTTCTCACTTTGCCTATATAAGGAAGTGCTGACTTCGGTCATTTTCACATTTGAGAACTTTGCGAGAACATTCGGACCCCTGAACTTGCTCTGACATTTCGGACCTTTTCTGCCTACCGCCTGTTCTGACAAGCCGACTGCACCGGATTTCCAGAACCTCATCAACCGTCACTCGTTCAGGTAACTCAGTTCTCTTACTCTTAATTTTCTTTTTATTTTTTTGAAATGGCACCACGGAAGCACACGACACGACCTAAGTTAGTGATCAGCCGGTCACCGGGGACGGCTGAATCTAGGACTAGGAGTGCCGCCTGCCCTTTTCTGGACCCATCTTTGCCCTTTATACAAAGTCCGAGTGTATCTGTGTCTATGCAGAACGTGATGGCCATAACAAAAAAGACTGTTATGATCTCAAACTCGGACGGCTCCTCCCAAAGGGTGCTCATTAGTGAAACATCTGACCAGGCGCCAGATGTAGAAGTGAAACGAGGCGGCTGCCAAGCCAACAGTTCTGAGAGAGGGGTCAAGGTGGTCCCTTCCCATTTTACCGTTGATATGTCTAATTTTCCTCCTGCTCCTTCTAAGGGAGAGGAGGCGGGCCCCTCTGGGAGAGGGGAGGAGTCGTCCTCTTCGGACTCGTCAGAGGACGAGTTCGAGTCCAGCTCTTCTGGCCACAGTTCTCCAGGCTCAGAAGAAAGAAACAGCCGCCTACAAGAGGCGAGGCTTTCTCATGCAGTTGAGAAGGGGGACAATTGGGCGGAGCCGTCCGCCTCTTTCAGAGAGGAAAACACCCCTTACTACTGCACGGTACCCCGGGGCCGGATCGCAACCATGCAAGACAAAGTGGAGAGCTTTATAGCTAACCACAGAATGGGCCTGGAATTTTTACTGTTCGTGTCGGATCCAGAAGACACTGTCGTCTGGCCGGCTGGTACCAGCTATGATGACGGCTGCTTTGGCTGCTATGTGGCGGCCATCAAAGCTGGACTGCGCTTCCCATTACATCCGGCTGTTCAGCGGATTTTAGATGGGTATGATTTGGGGTTATGGCAGTTAGCCCCCAACTCTTGGGTAAACGTACTCGGCTATGTGGCCGGGTGCGAAATGTACGGGGTGGAGCCAAGCTTTGAGGCTTTCGCCCACATGAACTATCTCAGCCGGACCCCTAAGTCGGGAGGTACCGGCTGGTATCAATTAACAAGCCATAGGGGTTACCTCATGACGAGAGGTAAGGCGAACAAATGGAAGGATTGGCGGAACACCTTCCTTATCATCGAGGGTTCAGACACGGAGCTGAACCAACGCTTTAACAAGTGGAATAGGGATCCGCCTCTTCTCGCAGGCGGCCGCAGCATGCCACCTGTTCCCCCAAAGGCTAAAAAAGAGATCCTAGACAAAGGACTCTTCAAAGTAGAGACTAGGGTGAACTCTACTTCAGGGGTACGAGAGCAAGTACCCCTAAACTGCGTCCCGAGCTTCAAGTGGCTCTATGACGAGTACTTTTTGGCCGCCTGTGGCCTCAGCAGTCGGTGCTCTAGAGGTAGCCGGCCTGTCAAATACTCTGTTTTTTCACGCTTTGTTTACTTGGGATTTTACTAACTTTGCTGTTTATTTTTTGCAGCTGACGCCATGAGTAAAATAACAGCATCCAAGACTGCGGCGGCCATGTTGCGGGCCTCTCTCATGCAACAGTCTTGTACCGACTCCCCCAACAAGGGGGCACCCTTGGTAGGCTTCGAAAACTCTTTCTCTTTTAGAAGTTGTCTTATGCATATACTAACTCTTTTTATTTTCAGTCGGGCACTCCAAGAGCTTCTTCCTCGCAACAGCCGGACCCCAAGGCCCGGAGGACGACTGTTGCAAGCTCTCCTGGGTCTTCCAGGAAAACAGTGGCGGCTGAGAAGCAGCCGACCACTTCTTCTAAAACCCCGGCGGGGCCGCCTAGAAGTATGGACAATTACTTGTAAAAACTTTTACACTTGCTTCCTTCTTGACTAGGTCTAACTTGCTTTTTTACGCTTGATGCAGCCGGCCCTCAGGGGCTTGACTTGGTTGAGGTAGCCAAGTCCATGATCAAAGTAGTTCCTCCATCTGAAAGGGAGGCGGTCAGGGGTGCCGGCACCCTTGACCTTGATGGGATTGCAGGGGTCCTTGCTGAGGTATACTTAGCATATTTTTGAGTATTTGAGTTCCAGGACGCCTGTTATCTTTTTTGTTTGGAAACTGACGCCTGTTTTTTTTTGTACTTAGGCCCTGCTCCGAGTTAACAGCCTTCGCAAGCCGCTTGATCGGAAAAACAAAGAGGTAAAGGCTGCAAAAGCTATGGCCGCCTCTAACTGTGATAAGGCAATGTTTCAAATTGCCCAAAATGAAGTACTGACCATTGATATTCTTTATTATCAGGCGCAGGCTACCGCCGCTGTTCGGGCTCAGTTAGAGGCGGCCCAGAAGAAGAATGACGAGCTGGGCGCGACCATCACAAATCTTAAGGCCGAGCTGAAACCTCTTCGCCAAAAAATGCACTCTTACGAAGCCATGGAGAAATCCTTGGCCAACGTAAAAGAACGCCTGGTGAGCCAAGAGAAGAGTCTTACCCAAGAGCTCTCGGAAAAGGCCGAGCAAGAGAAGAAAGAGCTCGTCCGGGAGATGATGGAAGACTCCGCTCAAATCCAGCGCATGACCTGGGGCCGCCTGTTCCCCAATGCCGACTTTGCCTCTTGGGAAAGAACGTACCGCCAGTGTTCGGAAACATATAATCAAGAGATCCTGGCGGCTGCTGAAGAAGAGGCGTTGGGAGATGCGTTGGAGGAGGAGGAAGAGCCGGTTGTGGCGCTTGTGCCACTTGGGGGTAAGGCATCAAAAGAGGATGCAGCTGAAGCCGAGTCCAGCAAGAAGAGTGCTGACCAGGCGGCAGCTGCTAATACTGAACTGCCCCCTTCTTAAGCTTAATGTATTTTTTCCACGGCCTGCGTGCCGTTTGCTTTGTATTTACCCGGCCAGGGGGCCGGGGCTTTGAATATTTTGCTGGTCTTTAATGACCGGCTTATTTTTAATCAAATTTTTGTTTTGCTTCAAATTTGTCTAAGTATTCCATATCTAATATCCCATTGTTCACTAGACCGACTGTTGTACATGGCCGAACGTTGCAGACAGGTACAAATAGTAAGTACGCCGCCTATGCCCCTGGACGACTGGTTGTCTGTTTCCAGGATAGACGATCAGTCGGCCATTTATTCAATCGGTATTCGAACTATTTTGTTTGGATCCTTTTTAGGCAGACGTGCCTGTCTTTTTGTAATTTTAACCAAGTAGGAAAGTGGTCTGACCAAGTAAATAGTATTACCTAGTCGCCAAGGAATTAAGTAAGTAGGATAACAAGAGGCGGGTACCGGTTGTTTCCCTTTATTGCCAATGTTGGCTTTTAACTCGTAATTTGTTAACCTAGCAAGAGTAGTGGTTGAGAGTCCCTGTTTGTTAAAAACAGGCGGACGACTCATACCTTTTAGGCTCCATACTAAGTTTGAGTGACTATTAAGTTAACATAGGAGTTACTTAGTCTTCGTCACACTCTAGATTGAATAGTAGAGGTACCAGGCGGCGGAGGCCGGCTGATCCTCTTGATTTGCCAATGTTTGTTGGCTATTAACTCAATAGGTACCCCCTGCATTTATCCCAAGTAATACAGGCGGTCATCTGACTCAGATGTCAACTGCTACCACTGGTTTGGTTAGTGATAAGAGTTATCCTTGTCTCAAAAACGGCTACGTGGTTGCCCTTGGGGACAGTCGTATAGGTGCCGTGTAATTAGTTTATAGAACAATGTTCCACCCAAAAGGGAGCTGCTCTCTGCGACGAATTTCATCCGGAGGGATGCCGTCGGACGCCTGCTATGATGTTGGGACAGGTCGTATTAGTTTTGTAGATTTGATCAGTTGGCTTGGCGCCTGGTCTGATCATTCGGCCGGTGGCCTTGGTAAGTTCTTGGTGAACGTAGGTGCTAAGTAAAAGAAGGGTAGCCGCCTGTTAGGCACAGGGTCGGCCAGGCCCTAATCTTTTTAGCTAAGTATTGTGAGTAAAATACTCAATGGAGAGTAGCCGACTGTAAAGGTACAGACGGCATGCCCCTCTGAAGATAGAGTGAAAAACTCAATGGAGAGTAGCCGACTGTAAAGGTACAGACGGCATGCCCCTCGTAATACAAAA